TAAGGTATCTCCAAGTTTTCTACCATGCAGCTGCGCTTTAGGAGTGCAGTGTACCAAGTTTTATTAGGCAAGGCTCAGGGCATTTGTCTCCTGGGACTGAGGCAAGGGAATGGGCAGTAGGGCGTTGCGCTGGGACCCCTAGAGGATCATCTTGCTGCCAGCCTCCAGTGTTTCATTAGTGTGGAACAAAGCATTGAATCCAGCCCACTTTGGAGGAGCGGGGATCCCTGCTCCCCTTCTCTCTGGCCTTGCCTGGGGTGAGCCAGGAAGGTTGACTGGGGTGATTACCCCCTTTCTTTGGCTGTGCTTCGGTGTGAGACTCTCCCTACCAGGTTTCTTTCTCTGGGAAGGTCAGTGGGTTGTGGTGAAGGATAGAGAAGCGTGTTCTGAGCTTCCAGAGGAACTCAGTCTGTGAGAAAGCAGCCCTCTTTGTGAGCGAGAAGGGAGGACACAGGGTCGCAGAGCCTGCGGGGTCAGTGTGGGGGCTGAGGCTGTTTGATGTGCCTGGGCGGGGTGTGGGGACTCCGGCATGCATAAAGACGCCATAGAATTGCCGTCTGACAGTGGCGGGGCGGGGCCTGTCCCCAGACTCTGCTGGCTGTGGTCTCTCTGTCAGCAGAGGGTCTCTGCTCCCCCTGCTCCACCTCAGCCTTGTGGGGTGGCAGGAGCCCCTTTGAAAGCCCTCAAAGGCCTCTTTATGTGGCCTCTGATCCTTCCCTCCCTCACTGAGCCATGAAGGACAGAGCTCACTTGGGTCACTTTCCTGTGCTTGGCCTCCACTCTGTCTTTTGAGTTTTGGACAAAGTTCAGGCCAAGTTTGTTCTGTGACTCAGTTTCACTTCCCTAGACTGCCTGCTGGGGGTGAAGTGGAGGCACTCTGGGCCCTCCCCGGGGTTCAGGCAGGCATCTCTTAGGTGAATTTGGCAGGAAGACTTTAAACACACACCTCTGCTGCATCCATTCATTTCTTTGCATGCACATTTGCCAGGTCCCTAGTCTTGCTGGGGTGTGTGTCAAAGAGTTGCCTGCCCTGGGCCTTGGTGCTGCATCTCGAGGTTCATAGAATTAAGAGTCCAGGTTTACTGACCCCCACCCTGCCTTCCAGGCTTTAATTCTGAACCCCATAGGGATGAGGAAGGATGGTTTAAGGGAGAGCTCCATGAAGGGTCCCAAAGGTTTCTTCTGGCTTTCTAGCTGTCAGGCCACGAGGACCCACAGAGGAGGGGGAAGTTTGAAGCTTGAGAGGAGGGGGAAGTTTGAAGCTTGAGAGGAACATCCGCACCTGCAAGGCTGCTCATGCTTGTCCTTCCTCCCTTGACCTGGTCAGCCTTCCTCTTCCTGACACCCCCTCTCCAGGTGAGCAGCTGGCTCTGCTGCTTGATCTTGTTTGGCAGGCCACGGTTTCTAGAAGTAGTGGGGAAAGAATCTGAATCTGAAAGTCTCTGAGATGGGGGAGTTAGGTCCTGTTACCCTGCCCATGTTCTTAGCTCCAAGAGGATGAGGGAGCCTGAACTGCAAGGAGCTATCATGATCTGTCTCTTTCCAGCTTTGATGAGAGCACACCAGGGTGGGTGCTGACACCGGAATGGTACTGGGTTTCTGTCTCGGTACCCAGGGCAGAGAGCTTTGTGGGTAATTCTGTCAGCTGGAGTCAGTGCATGGGGGTCTGAAGTAGGGTTGACAGACTTAGAGTAGGGAGGCCGCTGAGGAGGGTGGGGCATTGAGGATAAGAAAGTAGGGCTTTAGGGAGGAGGTTCTTTGGGGCTTAGAATGCCTTGGATAGTTCTGGACTCAGGAAAGTTGGGCTTTCCTGAAGAGTGCGCCAGAGCAGAGAGATGTGAAAAGAGGGCGGGCAGGCCTCAGCAACCAAAGTACAGGAGCCTGGGAGCTTGTCTACCCTCCACCCCACTCATTGCCATGAATTGTGTGTGCCCCTGGTCCAGACCCCAGATGCCAGGTAGAGAACCTCTGGGGTGCAGAGAGGCCGCCTGGGATGTAGGAGGATGGGGAAGGTGCTTGTATTCCTGTTTCCCCAATCCCTCTCAAAGAAGTGCCCAGAAGATTAAGGGAGACTGCCTCAGGGAAGGAAGGCAGGTGGAGTGGCCTGACTAATGGAGAAAGCGGGACTTGGAGAATGAAGGCAGGTTTATGGGTGAGGTCTGGCAAAGTCTCTATTTGCTCAAGGAGGACCAGGTCTCTTAAACCCAGTGCCGGAGAGTGCCCAGTCCCTCCCAGGCCGAGGGTGGGGAGTAGAATGGTTAGAAGTCTTTTGCCCCAGAACCTGCCCCTCTAGGCTGGGAAACTTTGCCTCTGAATCACTAGGGAAAGGGAAAGGGTCAAGTTGAACCCACAGTAGCCCAGCTAACGCTGATGACTGCCCAGTGCCTCCTCATCGGGACTGTGTGGCTCAGTATTTTATCTTCTTTCTTATGCCACCCTTTTATAAGCCCTACCCCTTACCAAAATGTAGGGACTTTGGGGAGGGAGCTGCCAGTGCCCAGATTTTATCTCAAGTCCTGTATTTCCTGGTCTTGTAGCAGCTGAACCCCAGAGAGCCAATATGGAGTGGATAGGCCTTACTCAGGTTGATAGATGGTGTCTGGTCTCTGTGAGGCACAACTTAGCACCTACTACATGCTTTGTGACACACAGAGCCCAACGAGGCCTGGTGTTCCTGGAGAAGATAAAGCTGGCAGAGGGTGTGTGCGTGTGCGCGTGCACGTCTCGACCCTCCCCATCAGGAGTAGCAGCTCGTCAGCACCACTTCTAGGATTGACTGGTGAGGAGTGGACAGGTATCCCAGGGGGTGTAGTGGCATGTTTTGTTTCCTGCTCCTCTTTTGGGATAAATGCAGGTTGGCAGGCTCTTATCTTTTCTCTCTAGGGCCTGCCCTCAGTCTCTTAGTACATTTCAGTGTTGATTTGAAATTTTTCCCTTTCCATCTTTAAAATGTGTGTGTGTGTGTGTGTGTGTGTGTGTGTGTGTGTGTGTGATTAAACCCAAGGCTTTGCAAACCTTAGGCAGTTGCTCCACCACTAAGTTACACAAAGCCCCTCCTTTATTATAGGGGCTCACTATGTAGTTCAGGCTGGCCTCAAATTGATGATCCTCTTGCTTCGGTATGACAAGTGCTGGGACTAGGACTACCCACCATGCCCTAGTTTCATAGTTTGCATAGCAGGCAGCAGTGACGCCATTGCTGGGAAGCAAGACCTGGTGGTGACTTCCCCTGTGGACCCAGTAACTACGAGGGTCTGTGCTGTATACATCTGTGTGAGTGCCCCCCCCCCAGGTCAACTAGGGAGTGATGGCATCTCACTAGCTCAGGGCTTGTTGGTGTCATCTCAGATGCAACCAATTATACCTAGGATGAGATCTAGGATCTTGTGCTATGAGGCTAGGGTTTAGGAATGGTCCCAGCTGCTTGTGACAGTTGGGCAGTAATATTTGGCTTGTACTGTCCCCCACCTCCTATGAACAATGAACTTGATGGAAAACTCAAGAAATTCTTGGGCTTAGGTTCACCAAGAGGAACTTTGTGCCTCAGTGACAGGTTGAAACCCCACTTAAGGAACTGTATCCCTTCTTCTTCCCTCTTGTCTCTGTCCTGGGGTTACTGTGTGACATGGCTCAGGGCCTGGAAGTGGAGAAGAGGAAGTGGCATTTTATTGTTTTATTTTTTAACAGGTTACATGCACACAGTTGTGTGTGTACTGTATGTTCTTATTTGTGTGCGTGGAGGCCAGAGGTTGACTACTGGGTGTATTCCTTGGCACTCTACTTTTTGAGACAGAGTCTATCATTGGATAGCACCAGTTGGCTAGGCTGGCTGGTCAGTGAGTTACAGTGCTCTGCCAGGTCCACCCCAGCACTGGGATTATAGACAAGTGCAGCTGCATTGGCTTTTCTATGATGCTGGAGACTGGGATTCAGATCTCTCTCTCTGTCCTTTTTTGTTTTTGTTTGTTTGTCTGTTTGTTTGTTTGAGACAGGGTTTCTCTGTGTAACAGTCCTATAGAACTCCCTCTATAGACCAGGCTGACCTCAAACTCACAGAGATCAGCATGCCTCTGCCTCCCGAATGCTGGAACTAAAGGTGTGCTTCACCGCTGCCTGGCTTCGGAATTCGGATCTCTGTTTTTGTTTCAGGCACTTCACCAACTGAGCTGCCTGGCAGTATTTGTGTGTGTGGTATGTGTTCATGTGCATCCGTGCGCACAAAGGCCAGGGATTGATAATCAAATGTCTTCTCCTCTTGCTCTCTTGAGTCCCTGAAGGTGGGGCTCAAGGACTCAGCTGGATGGCCTTGGGGTCATCTTGTTTCCACCTCCCAGCCCTAGGGTTACAGATTCCCATTACCATGCCCAGCTAAAAATTGGCCGGGAATCCAAACTCGGCACCTCGCATTTGCACAGTAAGCGCTTTGCCCACTGAGCCACCTCTCAGCTCCAGAATTGTCACTTTTAACAAGAATTGAGCGGCTCATCTTGGGAAGTTGGAGAGAAAAGCAGACAGGTTGGGCCTGGTGGAGGGTGTCCAGCGCCACTCTTAGAGCCAGTCCCGAGTTTCTCCAAAAAGGGCAATTGTAGAGATGCTTCAAAAGACAGTAAGTGACATCTGCCTGGCCTTGGGGTCTGCTGAGGTTCAAATGTCATTTTCTCTTATTAATTATATCAATGCTAGACTAATATTAACATGAGCCTCCTGACAGAGTGGCTGGGTCGGGGCAGCTGAGTGTAGGGCCGCGTCACTGGCCTGCAAGTGAACAGGATTTCATGCGACTGACTGTCTTGCCCTTCTAGGATCTGACTGATGAGATGTGTCCCTATCAGTGCACCAGCTGATGTGTTAGCGTGGGATGAGATGCTGCACTGGATCCAAAGGGCTGGCAGAAATATGGGAGTCTGGCTGAACCCTAGGAAGTTTGGGGTAGCAAGAAGGAGAAGCCACGGCAGGGCTGAGCCAAAGCAGCTGTGGAGTATGTGAATGGCCCCTGGAGCCCTCACTGCCCTGTCCATCATGATCCAGAGGCTGTGGGCCAGCCGTCTGCTACGGCATCGGAAAGCCCAGCTCCTGCTAGTCAACCTGCTGACCTTTGGCCTGGAGGTGTGTCTGGCTGCTGGCATTACCTATGTGCCACCACTTCTGCTGGAAGTAGGGGTCGAGGAGAAGTTCATGACCATGGTGTTGGGTGAGTCGTTCCACCTTCCTTTCCTTCTGTTCTAGTACCTGTGGTGCATTTGGGTTGTAGCCTGGGGAGTGGCTCAGAGCAGCTGGGTGCCTGGTGGGAGGCATTACCTGTTCTCATTTACACCTCACAGCCCTTGTGGACAATCTACACACAAAGAAAGGGAAGCTTAGAGGAGGCCAGTTTGTGTCTTTAGCTCAGTGAGTGTCTACTGCTCAGTAGAATTGGGACTTCACTATGGTTTCCCAGCCTGGGGTCTCTTTCCTGGGCACAGGACAGGTGGTGTGGATTTCTGATGCTGTGAACAAACTCAGCAAGAGCCACCAAAGGCAAGTGGCTTCCCTCCTTCAAGAGAGGATGCCCTATGAAGATGCAGGCTCTAGGTTCTGGTTGTTTGTTGAAACCCTGCTGCTAGCCCACAGCAGACCTGTATCTTTGCCTAAGTATTGCTTCTCAGTGCTGCATGCCTGCCACAGTTTCCTCATCGGAAAACAAGGTGTTTATAACCAACATACTGAGAGGAGCCCTGTGAATGCTGACTGCTGGATCTTTCCTTACTGTGACATGTTGTTGTGCCATCCTTCTCAAAGAGCTTGTCCTGACCGCTGATTTGTGCTATTTGTCCTTGCAGGCATTGGCCCAGTGCTGGGCCTGGTCTCTGTTCCACTCCTAGGCTCAGCCAGTGACCAGTGGCGTGGGCGCTATGGCCGCCGGAGACCCTTCATCTGGGCTCTGTCCCTGGGTGTCCTGCTCAGCCTCTTTCTCATCCCAAGGGCTGGCTGGCTGGCAGGGCTGCTGTGCCCAGATACCAGGCCCCTGGAGTTGGCTCTGCTGATCTTGGGAGTGGGGCTGCTGGACTTCTGTGGCCAGGTGTGCTTCACTCCACTGGAGGCCTTACTCTCTGACCTCTTCCGGGACCCAGACCACTGCCGCCAAGCCTTCTCTGTCTATGCCTTCATGATCAGCCTTGGGGGCTGCCTGGGCTACCTCTTACCTGCCATTGACTGGGACACTAGTGCCCTGGCCCCCTACCTGGGCTCTCAGGAAGAATGCCTCTTTGGCCTCCTCACTCTCATCTTTCTCACCTGCATGGCAGCCACTCTGTTTGTGGCCGAGGAGGCAGTCCTGGGCCCACCTGAGCCAGCAGAAGGGCTGTTGGTCCCCTCCGTGTCATCCCGCTGCTGCCCATGCCGTGTGGGCCTGGCTTTCCGGAATCTGGGTACCCTGTTTCCCCGGCTGCACCAGCTGTGCTGCCGCACGCCTCGCACCCTGCGCCGGCTCTTTGTGGCTGAGCTGTGCAGCTGGATGGCGCTCATGACATTCACACTATTCTACACAGACTTTGTGGGCGAGGGGCTATACCAGGGTGTACCCAGAGCCGAGCCAGGCACCGAGGCCCGGAGACACTATGATGAAGGTAAGTTACTTAGCTCTGGCGGGTGCTGCCCTCCAGAGGACGGGCCAGGGTTGGGAGATGCTCACAGCCTGGGCCCTGGCTGGTGACTATAACCCCGGGCCCCAGCTCCCTGTCAGTAAAAGAAAAAGGATTCATCTGTGTGGTGTAGCAACTCATGGATGTGGCTGCTATCCTTGTGGTCTCAGCAGGGTATCTAAGTCTACGAGGCTCCATTTCCACAGGGCTTTGCATTCCCTGCTTACTTTCCTAAGAACTCCCATGCCTTCTAGTTCAGGCATTCCACGGAGCTGTCTCAGAGCCAGTGTGGAGCCATCTTGTGGTCCTCACCCCCTCTTCCCTTACGCGCCTTGTCCTTTTTCCTTAGACCGACATAGACTATCTTCTCTGCCCTTAGCTAACAGCTCTGGCCACATTCACTGGTCACAGTCTAGATCCCATTGTTGTGGGCAGGTGGGGAGGGCCCTGGGGAGCAGGTGCCCATGGCCACGAGTCTAGTCTCTGTCTCCCCCAGATTGTATGGGGTTCTTAACCTACTTCTTCCCTACTCCCAGGCATTCGAATGGGCAGCCTGGGGCTCTTCCTGCAGTGCACCATCTCCCTGGTCTTCTCCCTGGTCATGGACAGGCTGGTGCAGCGGTTTGGCTCACGGTCAGTCTATCTGGCCAGTGTGATGACCTTTCCCCTGGCTGCCGGTGCCACATGCCTATCACACAGCGTGGTCGTAGTAACAGCCTCAGCTGCCCTCACCGGATTCACCTTCTCAGCCTTGCAGATCCTGCCTTACACGCTGGCCTCCCTCTACCATCGTGAGAAGCAGGTAGTCTCATTGACCAGATACAGGGTGGGGGCGGGCTGAGTTGGTTAGAATGTGGTGTCTGACAAGAGATGTTTGAAGAGGCTTGGCTTTCTCTGACCAAAGGCTCCAGATGCTGAAGAAGTATAGATTAGATCCTAGGAACAACTTCCTGGCGTTAGAACTAGAAAGCACTTGAGTGGATGATTGCAGGAAGTACAGAGTCCCTTCCTAGGAGTCCTGGAGAGTAAGCATACAACAGAAGTCCTCTATTCTGAGCTATATTACTGAATCCAGAGGTGGGGTCCCTGGCATGTGGCTGCAGCAGATGGCAGTGGGAATAGCCTGGCCTTAGCTATTTCAGAGATGAGTTTGATCAATCCATATCCTGCTTGCTGCAAGATAGAGAAGCTTCCTGTCCATCTCCTTCTAGTCTGTCATCCCCTTTAATCCTCTCCGTATCCCTGTCCAACACCCCCCCCCCCCCCCCTTCCCCCCTTCGCCTCCT